TCTTTCCCTGCAGACCTTGGGCGATGGGCACTCCATGCCTCAGTTTCCCCTGAAAGCCTGGGGCAATTAAATCTTCATGAGCCTGGTTTGGAGGGCAGGGTGGGGTCACTTTGAGATGTGGTGATGTTTTACCTCCATCTCCTTGGCATTGCAACTGTTAGGGAGGGATAGCCAGGAGGCCCCATTCCACCCCACAGCCTCACACCCAGCAGCACTGCTTACACCCAGGCCAAGCAGGTGCAAGCATGCTATCAGCTCAGCGAGGCAGGGCCCCGTGCCAGCTCTGCTGAGGTGCCACACAACATGTGACAGGAGAATCCTGCCTGGGCCAGATGCGAGGAAAAAGACTCCTCTGTGGCCTGTTCCCTGCGCCCCTCTCCATCCTGGCAATGTGGAGGAGGCACTCTCTCACAACCTCATTAAACCCAGGGTACTGGGGCACAACCATGTTGTTCAAGTGTTTAGGCACCAAATTCCCACTCTGACCAAAGGGACTTGGGCACCAAAATCCCTTTAAAAATCCAGTGGTTGCAATGACTCACTCAAGATGGCAGAGGGCATGAGTGATGGAACAGGGCAACCAATGTTCATGCCCAAGGCAGGGCTGCTTTCACAAAGTCTTCCCCCATGGCTGCCTCCCTAGATCCAAGGAGATGAGGTGCATGGGGGAACTCCCTTCCCAAAACACTGGCACTGCAGCCACATATGGGGAAAAACACAAGACATCAGAATATCTGGGTCTGTGTGCAACAGGGCCCTACATCCCTGCCCGGGACCAAGCACATATAAGGCATCACTAACAGAGGGGAAAACTAGCAGTGACACAAGATGGCACTAGGACACCTGGGCCCTAGTCCCCCTCTGACCCTGACCTCCTGCATGACTGTGAGCAAGTCACTTCACCTCTCTCTCCCTTCCCAAGCTACTGAGACTGCCAGCTCCTGCATGTGTGCAACATGGAGCCCTGACTGCCAATGACCACCTAGGTGCTACTGTTAAATATGTAGTGACTGATGGGCTGCATTAAACTTTATTTATCCTGTGCATATGCCTACAGATAGACCATGCTTCCACCCACAAGGTCACATGCTGAACACAAAGGGACAGGACCAGCCAAGGACACCTCCATGCTGTGTGATCATGCCCCCCCGCCTCAGTTTCCCTATCTGTGAAACCAGGGCAACAGCACTTCCCTGGCCCACAGGGAAGATGTAGCTGTATCACTCCAGCTTGTGGTCTTGAGAGCAGAGGGAGTGAGCCCCCTATACAGGATATTCAGCTGCTTCTCATTCATGGGTTTCAGCATGCAGGCCGTGTCCATGCTGTGCTGGCTGTGATTGCAGTGGAGAGCAGACACCCCCTGGATGCCTCAAGTGCTGGGGGCAGAGTAGCTGTAGCAGCATGGAGCTCTGGGTGGGCTGCACAGCCCTCTTGAGAGGTTGGGTGAGTGCTCGGATATGGTAGGCTCTGTGCTCCCAGCAGTGCTGCTCTCTGCACTACAGCTGGGCAGCATGATGCCAGCATGAGATAGTAAGCGGAAGCAGATGAACAAGGCCTCCTCAGGATCAGTCACTCCTAGCTGGGACCCAGCGTTGCTGGGGCCACAGGCTCCACATCCCCTTGGGATCTCTCCCTGGTGTGGCAAGTTGATAATGCAGCAGAATTGTAAGAACAGGACACTGGCTGCCAGGGCCCGGGGGGACCATTCTTGATTCTACCACCTACTCCCCGAGTCAAGTCTTGGGGTCTCCCCTCCCCCAGCCCACCAGAAGAAAGCACTTTGAGGCAAAGGGCATGATATGGGTACAAGAGGTTGAAGCAAAGAGGAAGTAACCCCTTCCCCAAAGCGTGCAAGGTGACACAGGTCTTGGTAAACCCTGGGGAAGGTGTTTCCTGAGCCAGTTTCCTTCAGGGGGATCTGCATGGCCTGAGGGGCCTTGCACACAACTATATCACCAGTCTGAAGCAGCTCTTCTTCAGCCTCACAGTAATCAACAAGGGAGGTTGGGGGTCATTGTATAGGGGAAAACTGAGGCACTCACCATGGAAGAGATTTGCCCAAAGCCACCTGGCAACCTAGCACTGGGTCCAGGGGCAGAACCCAGACCAGGTACCCATGTGTCAGGCAACCCTGGCAGGAAGCGTTAAGTGACTCTGAAAGCCAGGCCCTGGGGTCACATGCTGGAACCCCAGAAACTGCAGCCTTGTTCATTTGCTCAAGGCTTCATAGAGAAAGAACAGTACCCAGGCATCTGGGCCCCCGGTCCATGCGCCTTAGTGCCTACTGAAGAGACTGTCACAGAGCCAAGTATGGAAGACAAGCATCCAGGCTCCAATCTATGCTTTATGCCCTGGCCCTCAGTGCTTCCTGCAGACCACTGCCCTTGGACTGTTCTCCCTGGGCACTCGGGGACCTTTGCAATTCAAGGAAGGAGGACCAAGTCCCAACCCTAGCTCCAAACACTGCCACAGCCCCTCCCACAGAGCCAAGCATTGCCAGCGCTGCAGATGAATGAAGCCGCGCTCCCGCTGCAGCCGTGAGTAACCGCCTGGCAGACACAGCCCTATTTGTATGCGAGCAGCAGGGCCGCCGCACTCCAATGAACAACCTGTTCTAATCCAAACAGGAAGTTGGGGGCGGTGGAGAGGGCGTGGGGGGGGGAGCAGCCCAGAATACTAATACTCCCTGCTCCCCAGCATGGGTCATCCTTCAAGACATCCTGACACTGACGTGCAGCTGCGAGGATGGACAGACAGATGGACGTCACTCTGCCAACACATCGATTGATCGAGTCAAATGAGTCTGCAGGCAATACCCCATGCCCTAGCCTCACCCCCACCTTACCCCAACTCATGCCCCCCACTCCCCCGTAGCTGCAACACTGATTGGCATGCCAGAGGTATCTGCAGACAAGACCGCAACTCATCTCTAGTGCCAGCATGCCATCGGCAGAGGGAGGAGCAGAAGCAGCTGATGATACCCCTCTGAAGCATTCAGTCACCGTAGGGCCTGACTAAAATCTCAGCAAGGAGAATGCTGTGGTGTGGGGCTGCACGCCTGCATTCCCTGTAAGCTGCAATGAACTGCACAGCACACACATAGGGGGATGGGGGGTGCATGTCGCCACATTTCTCCATGTACATGCATAGGTACATGTGTGTGTTACCAAGTATCCTTAACCCATTGTACATTTTACGCAACACGGGGAAGCTATACAGGTGCAGTTCTACCTATCCTGCATTTACTACACACTAAATGAATGCACATGGGCACACGTGCATGTGTGTGGGCACATGAGCATTTTTCAGCCAGCCTCAGTTTTCTGTATGGTGCAGGCATGTGTGCATAAATGCCAATGTGCATTTTTTCCAGCTATCCTCAGTTT